AAGGTCATCAAAGTACTCAACCTACAGGATTAAACCTCTTTAAGAATAAATAAAAATAACATAAACCAACAAAGTTTTGGGCAATTCATATATATATATATATATATAAGTTTGTAAAGAATAATGAAAAACCAATTCCCAGGTACTAACCCTATTCTAAAAGTTCAACACAAGAATTTACAAAATAATCACTCCTTGCAGTATTGAATATTATTCAACAAAAAGAATTCCCCCAAGAAATTCCAAGGATTCCTCAAAGATCTCTCCTTCTTCAACCTTTTTTTCTTTGTTTTCTGGTTGAAATTGAAGAAAAGTATAATTGAATTAAGGAAATTAAAGAATAGAATAAAGGGTTTTTACAATGCTACAGCAAATATCCTAAACAAAGAGAAACAATTCAAGCTCCATCTCACTTTGATGTAGCCATCTTTTCGTCGGCCACTTCTTTAACATAGTCTTCAAGCCCTTGAAGAACTAATTGAGCAGCTATGGCATCGAGAGGATGGAAGGAGAATTTGCAAGAAAGGGTTTTAGAATATAGGGCTTTTGAATGCAAAGAAACATGGGCAAATCAAAGAAGAAAAGGGGATGAGGTTATTGGTGTAAATATGAAGAATACGAAGAAGGAATTCATGTTCAAGGTTTGTAAAAATTTGGAAAAATTGGAATTTTATACTTTTAAGTTGAAGATGAGCAAAATCGGGATTTAGTACTTTTAACCTGAAACAGCGCTGTTTTAATAATTGATTCCAACAAAAAATTAATAATACCAACTGAGATCTAGTTTCCCGATTTAGGTTATGCTAAATATGTTTAGATCTTTTATTTTACAATTTAATTTCTATTAAATTATAACGTATAAGTTTTTAAATGTGAGAGGAGGATTCAATATTAGGGATTCTTTTTTAATCAAAATGTATTTATTCTATAGTTTAATATGTTCTAAACTACAATTTTTCAATATGTTTATATATAATTGTTTTTTTTTTTTTGGTGTCATTTTTTATAATTTGAATTGAGAAAGACTGTGATGTTATATTAATTAAAATGTCAGGATTGATAGTGAAAAGTTTAAAGTACCTTTACTAAATTAATACACACAAAAATTTATCAAAGATATTTAAATAATATCATAAAAAATTATAATATTTAAAATGTAAGACATTCTAATTTTAATTTTTTCTTTTATAATTGGTAATTAATATTATATATACTATAGTAATTTAGGTCCCTCCCCATACATAGATTCAATTGTAAATTTTCAACTATGATATACTTACAAGTAAGATTATAAGTTTATAAATCTAACTATCTTACAAGTTTATAAATCTAACTAATCATTAAATTAGTAAATATATATAATATTATAAATAAATTTTGAATTGCAATCTCACAATACTACATACAATTATAACTATATAATTTTTAATTAAATTTAAAGTTGAGTCTTGTTGCAATTTGAATCTTCATCACTAATTATTTTAGAGTTAAAATTAACTTCTATATGTATAAGTGTTACACAAATTCTTGATTATTAATTTCAAATTTCTAATAATTAATAGCATACTTGAATTTAAATTATACCCCTGTAACTATAGGACTCAGAATTCATGACCGTTTCTTTGCCAATTTAAACGTTTATTTTAAAAGTTTATTACCTGTAGTATTTTTTTAACAGAAAAAAAATAATTGTTACTTTGAATATTCAGATATAAAAATAAAATAGAGGTATACTATAAATTTTGAAAATTTAGTTAGATAGCTTTAGAACCCAAAAAATAAAAAATAAAAGAAGTAATCCTTTTTCATCCTGAATGCTGAATCCGATCAGGATTTGTAGATCTCCAAACACAACCGACCTTGCTAACCCTATAAATTCCTCTTCCTCTATCTTTTTTCATTGTTAGTTTCTTGGTCCTCGATCTTCCCTTCCCTTGTTTTCTTCTTCCTCTGTTTCCTGCTCTGTTCCTTCAATGGAAGAGGCGAACCCAACTCTGGCTGCTTCTCAAAGCCCTAACTCCATGGACGACCTCTTGACGTCCTTAGAGAATCTTCATGTCAACGATCTCGGGTTTCAGGTTGACAATCATGGGTTCCCTTGTCAATCTCCTGCTGCTTCTCCTTCCGATTATGGGTCTGCTCTGTGGCCGTCCTGTTTCCAGAACACCCTTTGGTGTGCTTCAACTCTACCGTCCCCATTCACACTTGGATGCCATTCTTCTCTCAATGCCTATGGTATTCGCCCCAATCATCATTCCCTGACCGCCTTGAACGCTGCTGTTTTTAACTCTTCCGATTTCGAACCCACATTACAACTTCCACAAGACAAATCAATAATTGAACTGGCATTGACTCCAGACGGTTCTCAACTGCTTCAGAACCTTCTGCTTTCCAACGATGTTAGCTGCGTCAACATCATATTCGAAGGAGTAATTGGGTCTATATTCCGTCTCATGGCTGACCAGTTCGGCCATCAAGTCTTTGGAATTCTGATTCAGTTATGTGATGAGTATCAGCAGCAGATAATGGTAGAAAATTTGATTGCATATCCCGACGCATTCATACTAATATCTCTCGACAGATACGGTTCTCCCTCAGTTAAAAGACTAATCAAACTGTTGCAGAAATCGCCTTTGGTTACCAATCTTGTGAACACTCTATGCACTGGATTCTATGAATTGATGATTCACAGGACAGGATCCCACGTTATATTGTCTTGTCTGGATACGCTCGATGTTGAAAACAACAAGCTGTTTTACGAAGCAGGGATGAGCAATTCTTTTAAATTGGCCACACATCAGGCCGGATGCTTGTCCTTGAAAAGTTTCATCTCGTCAGTTAAAGGTCACTACAGAAATCAGTTCCTGGAATGGGTTTCTAAAGAAGCAGTATGCCTTTCCAAAGACCCTTTTGGGAACTTTGTAGTGCAGCATGTCCTGGACCTCCATCACCCTGACTTCACCAGGAAAATATGCTCTAGTCTGCAAGACCACTACGCGAAAATCTCGATGCTGAAAGGCGGCAGTCATGTGGTAGAAAAATGTCTCACGACTTCAGAGAGGGATTGGGCAGTTATTGAATTTATCAACAGTGACCATCTGGTGCAGTTGTCCAAGGATCAGTTCGGGAACTATGTCATCCAGGCAGCTTTGAAAGAAACCAAACGTGTGGACAGTCCACTCCATGAGATACTTGTGAGGAAACTGAAATCACATTCTGAGGCGCTGCAACGCGGATATGGAAAGAATGTGCTGAATTTGATCCGCGCATTCCAGATGACTTCTTTTTAGTTTTGAATTGCTACAGTACTTTTGTTACATATTAGTAGTAGGTTTCGTTGTTGAATTGTTTTGGGATTACAGTGCATTAGAATTAGGATATATTGATTGAAATCTGTGTGAATGTGTTTTAGGAGTTGGGAATTTGTGATGTGTAGTAAGCAACTTGACTGATTCTTGTTACAATTTGATTGAAACTTTACTACCCTAGAAGATCCTATTTTCTTTGTTATATTTGGCATGTTATTTTGTTATTGGCTCAACATAAATGACATACCTTTATTGAAAATAGTACTCTTATGTTTTAAAAAACGTATTTTTTCCCCAAATTATATCCCAAATACAAAAATTTCGATTAAAAGATAAACAAGTTTATTTATTTGAGAAATTGAATACAAAATTTTAACTTTTTTTACTTTTGAAATTACCCAATGGGTGGTGCTATAGGGACAACCTTTTTATTCTCTTTTTATACAACTTCCACATGTTATTAAATAAATAGATGCGTTCAATATCCGAGGCAATAGTTTCTGGACTGTTAAAATACCTATTAATACTTCTTGGGGATGGAGAAAAATTTTGAAGCTAAAACAACTAGCTAGGAAGCTTATTCAACATGTACTAGGTGATGACCAAGATATATATATTTGGCATGACAATTGGCATCCTTCTGGCCCTTTATTACAGGTGTATGGCAGCTCTATTGTTCAAGCTGCAGGGCTACCTTCCCAAGCAAAATTGGCTAGGGTAATAAATGGTGGCTTTTGGCAATGGCCTCCTGCTAGATCTCCCCAACTAGTACAAATTCAAATGCATTTGTTTGATTTCTACCCAAAGGAAGGAGAGAAGGATTCAGTAGTATGGTTACCTTCCTCTTCTGGTTCTTTCAGAACTGGGCAAACTTGGCACTGGTTAAGAAGCAAGCAAGATAGGAAAATATGGTATAAACTGGTTTGGTTCTCTCAAGCTATTCCCAAGCACAGTTTCATAAGTTAGTTAGCTATTCTCAATAGATTGAGCACAAGGGCTAGGCAAAGGAAATGGACTCCTACTATCCTTGATACATGCATCCTATGCAACAACAATTCTAAGACAAATGAGCACCTATTTTTTAAATGCACTTACGTAGGAAGAGTATGGCAGCAACTCAGCAGCATGCTTGCCATCCCTTTCATTGATTCTTGGAGGGGCTTGCTAAGTTGGGTGGGGAAAAAGGTTAGAAGAAAATCCTTATACTGTGTTTTAATCAAGTTGGCATGGAATGCTGCAGTTTACCATATTTGGATGGAGAGGAACAAGAGAATTCATCAAAAAAACTTTTAAGAATTATAGTGCTATTGTACATGAAATCAAATCTGATGTTAGGTGTAAGATCCTGGGTTTTGCTCGGCCAAGATCCTCCCATTTGCCTGTGGCCATTGCGTGTCAATGGGGGCTTGAAACAGTGGTGCAAGGCTAAATTTTGTAGGGTAGTTGCATATATTTGTGTATTTTGATATTGTTTGTTGGTATTCATTCTTTGTAGCAGCTTGTTGCTCTATTGTATTATTACATTGAATAAATAAAATTCACATTTTATCCAAAAAAAAGAATTAAAAAAACTAATTATTTTAATGACATATCAAATCATATATATAAAAAAAAAGACAAAATAATTGTCCCAATAGCAATTTCCTTACCCAATATAAGTCCACACAAATGTCCAAGATATGCAAGGAAATGTCACGGGTTTTTAACTTTTTATATATCTTTAAGTTTTTGGAAACAGATTTATGTCCAAATCAACTCAAGCCCAGATATAATGCCAGAAACCCAACAACAATCAGGGACCGAACTCAAGAAATCATGGGGGATACACTGCCCAAGATAATACTTTGTGGTTTCATGCCATTGTAACCTGTTATGCCCAAAAGGAAAGTATACAGGATGGAAAAAGCAAAATCCGTTGTTGGACTTGACAGATTATACGGGTCGCCGCGGTATTTAGGCAGTTGGGTCTGCAAGAATAAGGTTCTTGGATAATGGATACGAATATGTTTTTTAGACAAATTGTAATTATTTACATATTAATTAAGAGAATGAGAAAAAAACTTATGTAGGACTCAAATTCCTAATTAATAAGAAGTGAATGACCCTAACCTAACTCAGATCCAATGGCATTAAGCCAGTGGGCCGTTCATGGATTCCGATAGTTTAGTATGTTGTCACAAACAAATTCTTATTAGATATGAGATCACTAAACTTTCCTTAGGCCCAAACGGAGAGCAAACCCAAGCTGCACAGTATAAAAATAAATCAATCCTTG